AATAAGATATTTAGTGGAATTCCAGTTTTTTTACATCATTGTGCCATAGAATAATATAAAATGTTAAAATAACTTTATAAATGGTTAGTTAGACCGAAACAGAGAAAGAAAAAAAGTAAGTCTGCACTCGGTTTGGACCAAGTCGACCCAACAATCAACTAGACAATAGCAGTAGGAAGTTTGTTTCTTAGCACATTTCAGATACAGGCACAATTCAGTTTTCCTTACATAAAGAAAAGTAGAAATGTACGTCAATATAAAAGGAATAATTAAAACAAAGTACAAAGTAGTACAATTTAATAAAACAGAGACTTTTATTATACAAAGAATAACTATTAAATAAAGAAAATACAAAGTATATAAAACACAGTGAAAATAACCTTGGCCGTTGCAGCCCCTTTTTTAGAGATTTGGGTATGGAGGAAAAGAGAGAGGGTTGTGTTTTCTGACACTTGTTGAGTTCCCTGGAACACTGGGGACACATATTCATGTATAAAAGACGTACAAAAGTGCATTTTGCATGATAGGTCCCCTTTAATGAAACACTAGTTTTAAAGGCTGGATGTATGTGATCACTGCTTTTTTGATGATAATCTTAAATGGGAATTCACAGTCTACCCTCCCTTTACTGTATATCTACAGCCTCAAGGTTCAAGGTTCAAGGTCAAGGTTCTTTATTGTCAATCTGACATAGCTACAGAGTAATTATGCAGTTGAAAATCTTATGTCACAGGCTTCTCCAACAATGCAACATAATAACATAACATAATAACAATAAGAGCAAGAGCAATACAAAAATAGTAATAGTTATAAAAATGAAATAAAGTTATGATGTGGAATAGTGCAGTATGAGTCTATAGCCTAATCAGGTCAGTGACCTTACATCACTGTGTTTTTCTCGCAGGATGCCAGAAAACACGCTGCATGAGCGCTACATATCCTGCCCGACTCGAGCAGTTCCTCAAAGACCGACTCAAAGATACACAAACTCAGCACCTCCAGTACCTCGTCGCCTGCGGTGATCAACACATGTCCACTTTAGCTGGGTTTAATTTAAAGTATTTTAGGAAGGAGGAAGGAGTTAGCAAGACAGTGTGTTCCTTTGTAAACAGACATCAGGACTTAAATAGATGCCTACATGCAGAGAGACTTTTTATGTTGTGTCTTTTTTTTGCTTATATTAAATGTTGTATCAAAGTGCCTAACATCATAATTCAGCCCCCATATTGTTTCATTGTGTGCACATGTGTATTTGTGGGTGTGATTGAGTCTGTGATATTGAGTGCATATGTAAGTGTTTTTACCGAATAATTGTTTGGCTCTGGTAACCCTGGAATTTTAGTATGTTGGTGAAAAAAGGGAAATAATTGGTTTTAATTCAAATCTTAATTATGATATTTAAACATGGTTTGTAGTTGGTCTTCTGTTAACAGAGCCAGTGATGTTAATGTTGTTCAGTTCACAAGATAATTATGATATTCCTTTATGTATTATAAGCATTTAATTGAACGTTTTTTTGACATATCATTTTTATTTTACCTTAAATGATGTAATAATTATACTTCTTAAATGACTCAGGTTGGTTGGGTATCTGTATATTTCTTTCTGAAACTCGGAGAAATGATCTCAAGGAAACCAGTTTTGCTTTACATCACTCTATGTAATTTTTGTTCATAATAAATATTATAAAATTGCAATTTGTGCAATAGTGCAATTTCAGATTTGGTCACTTGATGGCGCTCCATGTTCTCTTTTTGGATGCCACTTTCTGTGTTGGTGAACATTTCTTTCAAGTTGATTGAATCCATTTAGCATGCAGCCGTTTAATGAATTTACAAATGACTTCACTGTTGTGAATATAAATGAAACCTGACATTTTAAATGCCCTCTGAAATGCTTTGGGAAAAATATAAAGTCTGAGACTGTGGTCATTTTTTTCAGAATAAAATCTTTACTGACAAACAGCATCAGAGTTAGTACGTGATTGGTTGTTAGACCAAATCCAGTGTTCATAATGAGAAATACAACATAGGCTTACTTAACTTGAGCTTATGTGATACAAATGTATTAGTCAGACTCATAAATAATATTGTCCAGATAGAATCCAGCGAAATGTTTCGGGATGGTTGTTATTAAGCACCTGTTTTGACCACAACTGGCAAATGCATTCAAGAGAAGTTTTTGATAACCATAAATCGTAATAGGCCTATTTTGGAACCCAGTCAATTATCTATATATATGCAAACATTTATATCGAATTTTATATCCACAAGATAAAACCCTGCAACTGAGGCTTTAAGCACCCTTAAAGGTCCCATATGTCATGGCCATTTCTACTGATCATAATTCCATTGTTGAGGTATACTAAAATAGATTTATATTGTGCAATTTTCCAAACTCACATTGGTTTCTCATACAGCATCTCTGTATAGTATGTGTATTCACTCTGTCCTAAACGGCTTGTTGGAGTTCCCTGTGAGCCCAGTGGCTGTCTGCGAGACAGCGAGACACAGCGAAACCCAGCCCGAAAAACACACACACCCGCAGCCTGGCTGGGAGTTTGTGTGTGTGCTCAGGCTGAGTTCCGCGGTCTCTCGCTGTCTCGCCGACCCCACACCAGTGAGCCAGCTCACACTGTCCCGCTCCTCGCAGCAGCGAGCCTCGCAACGTCCCGCCGAGTGTGTGTGTGTGAGGAAGTCCGCGGATTGGTCCAAACGTAACGGCTCTGCGGACGTAACGGCTCCGCAGATTGGTCCAAATAGTTAAGTCACTATACCCAATTATGTCATGATACCCAAGAAGTAAACAATGGAAAAAGAGAAATCTCCAACTCGGCGTTCTGGGGCAGCATGGACAGGTCTTTTCTGTGTTAGAGTTTTACTCGCTACAGGTTGTACTTTGAGGGTTTGTGACTCTGCAGACTGTTTACATGCATAATAAGTTACATAACACACAAGGGGACGGATCAATATCACTATAAAGTAACTTTGGTGTCCCCATCAGAATCACTCAGTTATCATGAAAATGTAGCAGAATAATGAAACTCTGAGGTCTTATTATAAAAGGCCAAACATTTACACACATATCAGTACAATGATAAGTCTCTTGAAATGTGTTTCCTTCATTTTATACCTTATTTTTTCATTGGATGTACGTGATTTTGGCATGTCCCACACACTACTCTGCTAACTACAGTGTGTGTAATAAGTGGTTAAATTATACTACATTAATTGTCCACAACGAGTTATTTGATAAAACGAGTCATTTTGATCATGTATATTCTATTTTCATAATAATATTGAACATTATGCATGTGTCACTGTCATTAAGGGCTATAACTACCCCATCAAAAACCCTCTGATGTTTTCAGTGACATTACTACACATTTCATTTAGCTGACGCTTTTATCCAAAGCGACTTACAATTACCAATTACAGGGACATTCTCCCTGGAGTAACTAAGGACTAAGTGCCTTACTCAAGGGCACACTAGTGGTGGTGTTCCTGGTGGGATTTGAACTCACAACTTTCCAATCTTCAGCCCACCTCACTTTCCATTAGACCACCACCATGTTGTCTTTCCTCAATGGAGGCTGGGACTTGGCTAGTTGCAAAGTAAGTTTTTAAACTTATATTTCAAAAATGTTAATCATATTATGTGTGTAGTTGGATGTTGTCAAGCTTAACAAGTCCACTCTGTCATAGTGAAATGTCAATTAATAGAAAAACCTTTCAGAAATTCGAAATATATTTGTTAAACAGTACACAGTCACCTTGCTAACTGAATCATGTTGCTAACTGAAGGTCCACCATGTGCTCATTAAATGCTAATATTAGCCAAAAACGTCCACCCTGTCAATGTCCACCCTGTCAGCAAGCCTTCCATAAATAATATAAAATGTACATTTTCAGAAAGCTATAGTCCCTTTCTCAACAATATATGTCAGTTAATGGAAAAGGTATTTGGATAATAATGAAATTATGGCAAACTATTTGTACCATTGTCCACCCTGTCAGCAAGCCTTCCATGACAGGGTGGACATGGTACAAATAGTTTGCCATCATTTCATTATTATCCAAATACCTTTTCCATTAACTGACATATATTGTTGAGAAAGGGACTACACTGTAGCTTTCTGAAAATGTACATTTTATAATCACTATGTAATTACAATGTAGGCTATTTATTCTTTGAATTGTGTCCATGACAGGGTGGATACATTTAGCTGTTTGCATGTACTTGCAGTTCATTTATAAAAAGTGTGGGAGCTTGACCAACATCCATTTCTAACAGCATAACGTATATTTGATACAATGAATATGAAGTTTAATGGAAAATCTCAGATTATTTTTTTTGGAAATGGGGAAGTCTCAAATGCACCGTGATATTGACCCGGGTAATAACCAGAAAAGCATGACATGGGCCCTTTAAATTCATTACATGCTCACACTGCTCCTATGAACACTGTTTCCCGCCTCAACAGTTAGCTTTTTTTGCCAAAAAGCTGTAAAACGACCAGAACACCTGTTGGTTAGCTAACCTGCCGAGCACAACAAACCTACAGACATACCAAGTTAACAGTGGACATGGCGCGACATTTAGCAGCTAAAGCCACTGTTATTATTTTCTCAGCGGTGGACAGCCCCGAAAAACAAGCTTTAAGGAGAGTAAATATTTAACTTAAATTCATGAAGTGGTCTGAAACAGGAAACCCCAATGAATGCTAATAATGCTAGTGTTTCCCGGACGTTTTAAGCTAACTGTTTGCTAACCATGAACTTTATAGTTAAGGTAATATGTCAGTGTTGTTCAGCTGCTTCGAAGTAGCCAACATATATAAACTGGTAAGTTGTTTAAAAACAAAACATGTATTTCGATTTTATTCTGAAATGACTGAGTCCAGGCTTTTACTGTGAAGGGACGGCGGCCCAGCCCCCGGTGCTCGGTGCTGCTGTTGTGCGGCGGTGTTGACGCAGCTGAAGCCGGTGAGGGTGAAGCGCTGACAGGACACTGGTGGAGAGCAGCCGTCGGCGCACACAGCTCAGTGAAGTGTGTCTGCAGCAGCCAGCATAACACTGGATTACCATCACACAGAGGTAAGCATGTTCCTGCTCCGCATCACTGATGCAGAGGTTCTTTAATGTTTCCTCGAAATCTATTATTTTCATTTGTAATGTATTTTACCAGGGCTTCAGAACAGCTGACTATGTTTTTTTTTTATTATCATATGATGCAAAACCAACACCACCTAATTTAGTTATTAGTTGTTATTTGAAATGTGGATTCAGCAGATTTGATCAAACACCAGTGCGTATATGAGTTTTGATATAGCATCTGATCACAGAGCTCTGGCTTTGGGACAGTTGCTGCAGTACAGGCTGATCCATACAGTGGGAATGCGACCCGCCATGGGTGCCGCACTCCGGATGAATGCCCAGGGGAAAAGAGAAAAAATACCAAGCCTGGGAATTAAACCCTTTCTGACTTTACATCTTGCTAAAATACTGTCTGGTATAATTTAAAAAAAAAACAGTTAATCGTTTCTTGTGTTGCTGTTTCTTTAAAGTAGCAGGTTGGCTCATTAGCGGTTGTCATTGTGAATCATAGGGAGCAGACTACAGGCTACTCCACATGCATACAATAAGCCTGTGACATCAGGACCGTCAACTTAATGGATGCATATTATGCGGCATGCAGGTGTTAGGAATAGTTTATTGAATAGTGTTTCACTGTCATTTTTATCACAATGTTGTCAGAGATAGATTCTAGCTTAGGCCATTTTTGATTGGATGATTTTGAAGGTGAACATGCATTGAGGAATTTAATGTAGGAGACGTAAAGTAGTTTGGAGGTGCATTTCATTATCAGTGATGCAAATGTATAAAGGAATTAAACAGGAGGAATATTTTAGTACAATTTCCTATTTTCCACTTCTTATTCCAGTGACATCTGTGTTAGTCTGAGCAGATGTGTTGTGAAGCTGCTCAGTCAGTGCAAATATTCTCTGCAGTTACAGAGACAGTCGACCTGAATTACTTCATATTCTAGTCCGACACGCAGGTCTGCCAACTGCATGTGACATGAACAACTGATTCACATACACACTTAGACAATCAGATATACTCATCTCTTGTTGTACATGTTGCAGCGCTATGAAGCTTAGTCAGAATAGGCTTTTACTTTCCAAAGTATTTGACAAAGAAAAAAGTTCTACACCATATTTTGAAATATGCATTAAGAAAATAGCACTGATCGTTGGGCTTATTCTAATGCTATAAAGCTACTGCAGGATTAAAAAAGCAATAAAAGTCCTTTTGTATTTTTTGTTATATCCTTTATATCTTAACAAATCCCTGTAGTATACAGTGTATTGTGGAGTGCAGCTTGCACTCTGCTTTCACATGAAGTGTAGGAATGTATGGTTGTCATTAAATCCAAAAGAAAAGCTCTCTAAGCTTTTTAGTCTTTATAAATAAACAAAATAAGCTCCATACACCTTCACCAGTTTATCTCTTTTAATAAATAATCAGCCTCAGCAGAAATAAGTATCTCCACTTTCTCTGAGCCGTGTTGTTTTCCTCTGAAACTCAGCAAATGTATGTGTCTTGTTTGCCTGGGTTTCATTCATAATTTTACTACACCGGTGACTCTTTCACTCCGAGGGATCTGTGTAACATGACACTAAAGAAGCTTATAAAATATTAACCCGGACACAAATAATTCATCAATCTGCTACGAGGACACGGGCAAAGCAGTCAGACTGATTTTCAACAACAAAAAAAACATTTCACATGTTTTACACACTCTGCTCTGTGTCTTATCACATGGAAACATGTAGTAGAGATAGTGTTTCTAGACAGTGTTTACGAAAGACAGAACAAGACCTCCGCTAGGATAAAGGACTTTGTGTATTTGCAACCACATCTTTGTAAAGTGTTTTGTCACTTAATTAAACACTATTTGAATTCCCTTAGAGGCAGATTTCATGTCCCCTCAGCTTAGTACTACTACTGAGAATTGATTCAATAGTAGTACTTCACTAGTAGTTCAGTAGTAGTTATAAAGCAGACTCCTGGTTAATGACTTGTCAGCATAGGAGTTGTAGATGTTTACACAGCGATGGTGTGTGTGTAAATGGAAGTCATATGTTACCTAGCCTTGAGCTATTTGTTCAGTCACGCAAAGAGCAGCCAAACCACTATATGACCTTTTGTACATATTGTTGTGCAAATAAAGCAAGTCAAATATTTTTTGGAGTTGAAACGATTCCCCATATATCGTTTGCAAATGTTCAACTTTTGCTGTTGTTGATTTGAGTTTTTTTGGTTTAACTAGCCTCAGTTCTCATGAAGAGCCGCAACAATGTGTCGATTGGTCGATGAGTAAAATAATGGCCAACTAGTTCGATAAACAATTTGTTGTTAAAGTCATTTTGCTGCAATATATCCATTTCTCTGTTTTTTCTGTCTTTTTTTAGATGATATCTAACTGAAAATCTTTGGGTTTTTTAACTGTCTTATACAGTCTGTGGTTTTGAGTGACAAGAAAGACATCACCTCATACTTTGACGTTTTATACACCAAACGATTCATTGATTAATCTAGAAAATAATAATCAGACAGAATAATGTAGTGAATCATTGTATTGTACAGACAGATTCATATTCTAACAACACTTAAAGTTTGAAACCCACTTTTGAATGCCACTATCATCCAGATCTTGCTTTTTTAAGAGACTCAATAAATCAAGGTCGAAGTGTTGCATTTCAGTCTATTGAGCTTGACAAACAGAAATGATAACCTGTGGAGTAAGAATGTGACCTGTTGGTGTGAACCCAGCGCAGTGGTTAATATTTCATGAAGCTCGTTCTGAGTCACGTTACACAGATCCCCTGGGTTTGAAAGGAGCGACCCTGGGAAACGTGAATCTCTAAACTGAATGCAAAAGATTTGCCGGCTGGCCTCCAGATCACCCAGCGTTTCAACATGTTCACCATTTGTTTTGTAAATCTGATTATTGGCAACTTGGAAAATGAATATTTGAATATTAAAAAATATGAAATAGGTACAATTGGCTAATTAAAGTTGAATTACCACATAGGTCTTCAAAATAGCTGGCTTTTGTCTAATTGTTTTGACTTTGCAAAACAGAGTTAACCTGGACAGTGGCAAAATTATTTCATAATATTCTTATCCTTTTTAAGGTATATTTCCTCAAATCACTTAAATGTATTATTATGTATTAATTCCCGCATGCCAACTGCTTAGTGAAGCTGGATATTAGCATGACATCGACCTGTTTTTGTGACAGTATTTGTCGAAAACAGCCCTGTATTTACTGTGAATCACGGATGGCTTCAAACACCAGGTTTCTGTTTTTACTCCATGTTAATGTTACAACAGGTTGCTTAGCAACCCCCCCTCTGCCGCTTTCTCCATCTGCTGCCATTGGCTGAAGTGGTTGGTGAAGTGAAGTGTTATGCTTTGGCTTTTCAAGGTCTGTGGCACAAAGAAAGCCCCCCGATCATGGACGCGTGTAAACAAGGCAGTGAAAAGACAATTTATGCTTTAGTGATGGATTAAGCTGCACTCTTCATCACCAACACCACACCTCCACCTCCCCCCCTCTCCCCTGTGTTACATCTCAGCAACTGGTGGAAAACAACACTATGGCGGCAGTTGTTGGAAGATATTTAATATAACCGGCATGCGTCCTCACTCATCATCACACAAACAAAACCGTAATGATCAAGCGACAGTGACGCAAATAATGTTTAGAAAATCACTCACTACAAAATGTGATAAACAATAATGAAACTCTAATAAGAGTGCCGCCACCTACAGAGCCCGGCTGTTATTGACGGAGCTGCCTGTTGTGTTTGTGTCTGGGTGTGACGGGTGGAGTCAGACTGGGCAGGCATTCCAGAAATAGACGTATGATGGAGTCCTGCCGCACGCTCATTTCACACGAGGATACCTTCATAGCACTTAAAATTGCTGGATTATCACATTGCTGTTTATATTCACGTTTAGCCGCCATATCCTATGACTCAATTATCAAGTAGTCTTGTCACATTGGCGCTTGGAGAGTTATATTAGGGAGCACACTCGAGCGGCCTGTCCACGTCGGAGTCAAAACATCCAGCAGAGATGAGGAAACACTTTGAGCGGGATTGTCATCGCCGCTCACCTAATGTGCGGTGCGGCCCGTTATCTAAGCCAGGAGGAATCCTATGTGCACAGCTGAGCTCGTTATCTAGTGATGACATTAAAGCATCATGAGTGACTGTTACTCATATCTGCAAATAGAGCACTCACGATAATAGCTTTACAACACGATTATGGCAGACGAAATCATTCAAGAGAACGGTATTATCACAATGTCTTTTAGAAGTTTTTTAAAAGATTATATTTATAATGCCAAAATGATCTTTAACTTTGGTTATACAGCCATTTCTTATGCCTCCATGCCTGCACCAGATGTATCAGCAGTCATAGCATTTTAAGGTTGACCTTTAAGTATGACTGTCGTGATATCCCATCAACCTCTTAAAGAATATTTTCAAAGTAAGATATGGACTCAAGGATGACCTGAATTGAATTTGATGGTCAAATGTCAAAGGGTCAAAGTCACTGTGACATAACAAAAACATTATGGGCCTTTAAACAAGAATTGAAATGCCATTAAAGACCATTTCCAATTGCCAAATTATTTCACCAGAATGAAGTGTAGTTTGGGGGAGTGTGAGTCTGTAACCATAACTGTACAGGAGCCTACAAAAACGATTCATTAAAAGCATGTTTTTTCATTTTTTTAAATATGAAATGGCAGTGTATAATCTCAATTCCATTATTGATATATTACCATTATTGTGGATTTCTTTCCCAAATGTATCACTTACTGCATAGTGCATACTAGTTAAATATCCCCATTTGCTCATAAGCTTCTCTGAATTTCTTAGTGCTCCTACCAAGAAAACTACCAAAAGCCCCTTAAAGAGACACCTCGGGGCTGCTTGAATATTCAGTCGAATGTTTATCCTCACTCCGGGGCTTGTGAGCCAAGCTCTCTCACTCTTGGAGAGCAGCCTGGAGCC